ATGTGCTCTAGTTGGGAAACACCAGTCAAGCAAAAGATGTGCAAATGGTGTGTGCCTGAGAAGGACAGGATTTAGCACTGCCCCTAATATAGTCCAGTTCATAAGAAGAAGAGATCTGTGCAGCTGAACCAGTAGAGATGTAAAATCCGAGGAGATAAATCTCTTGACAAGTTTATATTTGTCCTTCAAAGGGAAACTAATAATACAAAGCATATAATGCTGCAACAAAAACTAAGCCAAAAAGCAAAGACAGCAACAACAAGGGCTTTTGGTTTTGACCACTTCCTGTGTGAACTGTTGAACAAAATGATTTCTAAACAAGTTACTACTTCATGGGATAACTGGTTCCAGGGTACAAACAGGCTTCCTGAGCCTGATTAGCTCTGCTCTTCAGGAAAACACACCCAAGCAACTCCCCAGCCCTCTTGCTTCCAGCCCTACAGTCCTTCTCTTCAGCCTCTCTCAAACCCTCAGAACTCCCCTACCTAAAAACAGTTCGCTTCCAACATTCTGGTAGAAAGTGCGATACCACAACCCAATAGAGTGATAATTTTAGAAAGCAATGCTTTGATAAATTTGATGTTAAACAAAAGGATCTGAAACTAGGAAAAACAAAAATCTCTGTGCAAGGCACAGACTACTGGTTAAGGAAACCCCAGTCCCACAAACTAGGCCTTGTAGTACTTAATCAGTGCAGTAAAAATGGGACGGCAGAACACCCACCTCCCTCTCTACCTAACAAGTTTCAAAAGCCAATTAACGCTGAATAGACAGAGCCTTCCAAACAGATATTTATTCCTAACAAAATCATAAAAAGCTTCAAAAGTTGTAATGTCAAATCAGGAAGAAAGGAAGACTAAAATGCCTATCAAAAAGAAGACAACTGAAAGGCACGGTTTCAATATTTCAGAAGCAGCAAACTGCAGAAGAATCGCCCTTGGATCACTCCAGGAAAGAGGACCACAGGTATACACGTGGAGAGAAGAGATTTGTGTGCAGGACACTGCAAAATGGAAGTTCATCAGGTTTCAGGTTCATCTGACCTGAACATGTTCTCTTCCAGCAACACACAGAAGCTCTGTCAGCAACCAGACACTCCAAAACACGGATGGCAGCAGAAAGCAGTAACAGTCACCAGGTGTTCCCCACGACATACCCACAGAATCCTAAATTTTCATTGTGAAGCAGTTGAGCTGGTGAATACATGACTTCCCTCACCAAAACAAACTTCCCTGCCAAAGGGCTGGGAAACAGAAAAATCAGGCTTTTCTTTTTTTAAAAAATAAGACCTCAAGCAAAGTGCACCCCACCAAGTTCTGTGTCTTCATTTGTTACCTGGCTGAAGCCAGGTAACATTAATGTTAACATTAAAATTAATGCCAAAAAGAACTGAAATAAGTCATAACCCTTGCAGGAACAACAATCTCACTAATTATCACAGCTGTTTGAATTTCAATAAAGGGGAAAGTAAAAGAAAGGTCTTTTTAGTAGGGTGCTGAAAATCATTGGAAGGGTCCACCTACACAAGATGAATGATCTCTGAGATGGCAAATAAAGTTCAACCTTTATTAAACCAAAGCAGTATCTTTTTTTTCAAGATATGCTGTGATATAAATTTACCACACGAACAAAAGCAATGGACCTACAGTCACCTCAGAATATACTTCCAAACTATGTGCAATTGTTACCAAAACCAAAGGTATTGGAATGGGGACAAACAGGAAACATCATAATATGGTGTCTGTCACAAAACCCTGTGCAGTCCTTGTAACCCAAACTTTAAAAGAATGTCATACCTTACAGAGAGCTATGGAGAGCCTGAAACTAAGGATGGTTAGAATGGCAATTTTAATTTAAGAGACATAAAAGTCTTCTTAAATTAGAGAAGGATAAATGCAGAACAAACAAAATTAAGCAGCTACTTCAATCAAGTCTAGGAATATTTCCTGCAACTGAGCAGGACTGGACAGTATCCCTGTTTTACAACCAATAAATCACAACTATTCTTTCACACTTTGGTGACCACCTTTAACAATAAAATTCTTTGCAACAGTGAAATACAGAAGCACAAAAGACAGAAATGACCTGCACAACAACATAATTAAAGGGATACATGAAGAACTAAGCAATTCAGATAAAACTTCACCTCCCATGACAAATTTGCACCGGTGCTAGTTAGAAGACATACATACTGTTGACTATGAATATAGCTAGTGATGAATCCATTATCATTTGCTCCAAAGCTCTCTGAAAGCTGAACTTCGGTGGAAGTGCAGATAATTGCAAAAATATTGGCTTGAGCCAAAAATCCCACACTGGCCTGTGAGTGTAAGAGCAGGACTCATGGCAGCAAGACTGTATCCATCTGACCCGTCTCCTCCTTCCCTTCCAATCTCTGTAGCTCAGTCCACACCACCAGCTCTTATGTCAAATTCAATAAGCTTCAGAATAGAGGCTCTGCTTCCCTTCTTTTTAATAATTTATTTTTTTTAAACAAAACAAACATTGAAACCATGTCCTGTTACAGCTCAGTTTGACTAAACCGGAGTAAGGGAAGCAGATGCCAGCCTGGTCTGCATTCAGTTCCTCAGTGCTTTGCCGGGAAAGCAGGTTACAGAAGAGGCAGCATTTAGCAAGACTGTCAGCTTATTAAGGCAATAATCCCTACCTGCTAACAGCAGAAACATTTCCCTCTCCCTGCTAAGGGGGGAAAACCACAAATTACAGCCTGAAGATACCCGAGCACGTGAAGTGCTTGGAACCACTGCCGAATTCCCACCACTGATGAGCTCCATCATCTCAGGGCTGATTTCAACTTCACGCAATTATTTCATCAACCACAAAGTTCACCTACAGGTGACAGGATGAGGGCAAATGAAAGAGGCTTTACAAAACACGAAATGTAAGATAAAGCCTAAGTAAGTTCACATGTGGATGACAGTTCAGACTATATTACTACTTCTTTGCCACATTAAAAGTAGCCAGCTTTCATTGTTATTTTTGGGTACTTTCATGCCCCACCTTGAAGACACCTTGAGCAAGACCTCGCCTCAAAATGAAACAGGCAATAATCCACACAGGAAAAAAGCAACTCTCATTTTCCCTACACTGCCCACAACCTAATCAGAAAGCACTTACCTCCCATCTAGAAGAAATAATTATAATAGCAACCCAGTGTATCCTAGTCCTGTTATATCACCAATCTCAGCTGTCACAGGCAGACTGCAAACATTAACAAATCCACTCTGAGGGGAGGAGAGAACTTCTGTGCCTCAAAGGAAAAAGAGTCACAAGCAGTGCCAAACACTGGCCACTCACAGAGCACCAAATTGAAGGATACTGCAGTGTAAGTATGGTAACCATCGAGAAAACGTCACAAATCCAATTTAACCTAACAGGTTTCAGATACACATCCAGACACATATTTCATATGTAAGTGTATTCCAGACTATGGTTAGAGGTAACGTCCTTAAAATTAAACCATAAAGACTGGGTTAATTCATATCCATCAAAATCACATACAGAGCACTGAAAAAATCTGATTGATAAAGTATCACAGAGTCAATGTCCCAGTTAAAAACTGCACAGTAAGAGACACACACACACAGAGGCACAAAACAAAAACCCCGAGCACAAGGCAAGTAGGCTTGGACAAGTAAAACATCAGCACAGCACACAAACAAACACACACACCAAGAAAGCTGGCAAGGTGGGGCATGCAACACAAACCCCCTTTCAATTAAACAATTAATAAAGCAGAGTGTTAGCTGACTAACAGCACAGTAACAAGAGGATTTAGGTCTGAAACTTCCACAACATTTAAGCGAGATGAGATTAAACAAAATCACCCCAACCCAAGCAAGGCTTCATTCTAGGCACGTTCACTTGGAGTGAAAGGCAGCACCAGCACCAGTTCTGTGGACCTCAAATTGTGGAATGGCTCTACATGTTTCCCTACAGTCCTGCCTACCAGCACAAGTTCCCTTAGACACATTTGCACACCCAGTGATGACAAAAACAGGCCAGAAGATGCTTGGAAAGCACACGGTTCAAGCAATGCTTCCACCAGGCTGCACACGACAAACTTCAGTTCTTCCCTCTGCTCCAAGACCAATCAGGAGCAGATAACAACCACGGTCATCCTACCCCAGGGAGAGACTGTCACATCCCAACAGGCAAGGGTTCAACTCGATCCACAAATAAGAACCTACACTACAAAGCAGGGAAAAACGTCAAAGGATATTATAAAGACCCCCAAAACCCAAATTTGTGTTCAGCTGCTTTTGCCTTAGCTCTGATTTTCCTACATTTGCTCAAGTTACAACAGAACCCTGAAAGACTGACCCTGACCACACCAGTCTGCCCTCACGTTTCGCACCAACACAAGCACAACAAGCCGGTATCCCACCCAAGACAGCGGCGGGAGCAGCAGCCGGGGCAGAGAGAGCCCTGTTCGCCTTCAGGCACACGACTTCAAGGGGCATTTGGGGCTGGAACCGAGCGAGCAAGCTTCCCACTCCCCTACAGCCCCCGGCCCGCTCTGGAAGGGACCAGACCCCCAAGCTCCGCCCGAGCCCGCAGCAGCAGCAGCGGCCGGGGCCGGCACACGGGAGCAGTGGCCAGGGCGGCTGCGGGGCGGCTCCAGGAACAGCGCCAGTCCCGCACACAGCCGCATCTGCCCGGCTGGGACGGGCCGGGGGGCAGACCCCGCCGGAGGGGGGCGGCCTCCATGCCCTGGGGAGGGCCCGGGCGGGGAGGGCCAGGCCCCCCTCCCCCGCCCAGATTTTAGAGGAGGCCGGCCAGGCTGCGTGACAGCGGAACCCGCCGCAGCGGGGACAGAGTGGGACAGAGGCGAAGCCCCCGCCGGGCCGCGGCGCTGCGCCCGCACCTTGTAGACGTCGCCGTAGGTGCCGCTGCCGATGCGCTGGATGAGCTCGAAGTCCTCCTGAGGGTTGCGCCGGGACAGGTCGCACACCCTCCCGCCGCCGCCGCCGCCGCTCATGGTGCCGGCGGACGCCCCGCTGTCCGCGCCCCGGCGGGTCGGGGTCGGGGTCGGGGTCGGGGTCGGGGCCGGGGCCGGGGCCGGGGCCGGGAGGAGGCGCGGAGCGAACGCGGCGGCACCGAGCGCTCAGCGCCCCCCCGCCCGCCACGGCAACATGGCGCCCGCCGCCCTCCGCGCACGCGCGGCACAGCGCCCGCCCCCTCCCCACCCTCTGTCCCGGAGACGCCTGCGCGCCGCGAGCGGGGCCGGGGCAGCAGGGTCGCGGGTTCGGGACCCGCCGGCGCTGAGCCCGTCCCGAGGAGCCGGCTCCCCCCCAGCCGCGGCCCGTGTGCCGAGCCCGCCGGCTCCCCGTGCACCACGGACCGACCCTGGCCCCCTGGCCCTGCGGTCCGTCCCCCGGCTCTCCAAGCGTGGGGAGCCGCTTGGGAAGTAAGATACGACACGCAGGTGTTCCCCCGAAATGCCAGGCGCTGTGAGAGTCGCAGAAAAATTGGTTTCCAAAGTCGAGAACACCGGACTTTAAAAGAACATTAATCCTTTCCAAGCGCTGTGCCTGAGGGAAGATGCGCCCCCTGTTCTTCCCAGGGCATGTATAGAGTGTGCCTCCTCTCTCCTCTTACACTAATGCTGCCAGGGTAAAGACTTTCCATCCCATCTTGCATGCAGGTTTCCAGCACGGGGGAGGCCTGTGGGTTCCTGCTCCCTCCCTGTCTGTGCTCCCCACCCCACTCTGTGCAGGGAACAAGCACCAGGCAGCTGTTGGAACCCTTCTCCCCAGATGTGCAGCCCCTGAAGTTGTGTGGTGAGCGGGTCCTGGAGCACTTCTTGGGCTCTGTGCCAGTGAACCAGGCAGAGCTTTTCCCACCACACTTCTTCTGCCAGTTACTTATGGGTGAAACAAACAGAGTGGGGTGAGGGAGGAGCTTTGGACACAAAAATGCACTATCTGCTTGCTGCCCCTTCCTGCCTTGCCAAAGATGTTGGTGTGGCATCTTTCCTCTCTGCTGAGAAGGTGCACTGGGAGAGGGGGCTGGGCATGGCCCCATTTCGATGCGTGATTACCAGAGCAGAAAAGGAGTTGAGGAGCTTGAGCTCTGGCAGGGGGATGCCTGTGAAATTGCATCTTGTCGGTCAGTGTGTTTGTCCCTCCAGCCGCCCTGGGCCGTGCATTCCTGTCCTTGGCTTTGTTTTTATGACCTTTGCTCTCACAAGCAAAATGGTCTCAAACCTGCCAGATTGAGATTGAGATTCAGGTGTCAGTAATTTTTCCTGTCACGTGATTGGGGCTTTTGGGGCACACTGCGCTGCTTTCTGCTGCAGAAGCACCAGGACAAGCAACAGGCATAGATTAGCTGGACAGAGCTGCTACAGATGCTCCAAGAGCCAATCCAGGGGGACTGGGCTCTGTGACAAGTTTAGGAGTAGCAGCAGCTCTGAGGGAGTTGCAGAAGGAAATGCCAGAGAATTAGAGCTGTCCGGAAAGGCTAACAGACATCCTGCTGGGGAGGGCCGATAACCTTGTCACCCTCCTGCTCTTGCCTCTTCGTTTCTCTCTCATTAGAGGGGAACTGGGTTATAGTTTTTCCCATATTATGTTCTTGCCAAGTTCTGCTTTGGTAGAAATGGTTATGAATGAAGCAAGCAGGATTATTTTATCCCTTAGATCTTGCTTTCTATCCATGGCAGCTGCCCACTCTTCCTCTGCTCTTCTAAAAACACCCTGGGAACGTCTGTGTCCCTTCTCTTTGGTAAGGAGAAACAGATGGAGCTGAGAGATGTGCCTTCCACTACCTTCAGAAACAGGTCAGATCAAATTAGTGTCAAGCATAATTTGCTTTCCCAAAGCCTTGGGAAGACTTCTCTTGCTTTCTTTTTTTCCTCCTATTCCTTAGCTGTGGCTATGGTAGGACGGTCAAGCCATATGCTGCAGAGGGGCAGACTGGGCTCCTCTTCAACACTGCTCAGGAAGGTCAAATTAATTCAATAAAACTGCATTTGGGTGTTAAACAGTATTGTGATAGTTCAGTCAATGCCAATTACTTTAAGAGTTCTGGATCATGAGCCCCAGCTGCGGTCAGTGGCACCCCACAGGCACAAAAAAGTATCCTGCTGAGGCTGGATGCCTTGTTTCCAGCTGTGCTCATGACATCCTGTTGCTGGGGCTCCTGCTGCTGCTACTTAGATCCAAAATGCTGCTTTGTTCTCTACAACCCTAAATCCTGGCCACTGCTTGAAGTGGGAGGTCTGGCTCTTCAGCCACCATGTGTTGGCAGACTGCACCTGGCTCCAGGTGACACCAATGCAATTTGTCACAGTTGGAGACCTCTTCCAATGTCTCTGTCATCTTTCCGTGCCAGACTAAAGGGCAAGGTGCTCCATGTGCCAGTGCTGTGGAGAGAAGGTGGCCTGTCCATTTCACTTACGGCCCTGGAGCTGCTGTGAGAGGGAAGGTGTCCTTACAGGGGCCTCTTTGAGCCATGTGGGATCACACATGGAGGCAGGCAAGTTCTTTCTGGAATGCTGAAGGCTGCCTTGGTCAAGGTAAGGGCTGCAATTTTGCCAGTCCCAGGGCAGGTTGGTTATGCCCCAAAAGAAGTGTATGAAGGAAAGTATAAATTTAGAGGGCCCAGTTGGCTCCAGATGTGGGAGGTTCACATACACAAGCCCCATACTGGTATACTCCTGTTGCAATCACTCCTGATATCCAGAGGGAAGAGCTAAGCCTCACACTTTCAGGGGTGACTCTAGGACTGTAATAAAGCAACAGTACAGCTGGACATTTTTCCCCTCCCCTCAAACACGAGGCTTTTAGGTAGTACTTCACAGAAAAAAAGAAAATGAAACTTTCTAGCGTGATGTCAACAGTCTGAAGACTTGGCTTCTTCTATGCTCTCTTTCTCTTTTAACAGTTCCCCAGAGCAGCTGTCTGTTCTCCAGCCCCTCCTGACCTCAGACAGCACCTCCTGGGTACCACTTCCTTGCAGCATCTCATGTCTGCTCCCGTCCGCTCTGGAACACCATTTGTTGTTTGCTTCCCATTCAGCTGAGCAAGCTCAGCTCCACCTTCCAAAACACCCAATACCCTTGCTCAAGGAGGGACAACCGTGCAGGATGAGACCCTTTGCACTGTATGCCTGGTTTATTTGTAAGCAGCTGCACAGCCTTTTAAAAGCCTTTTCGAGGAGCCACCTCTGTGGTGTCACACTGAAGAGCAAGGTGCCAGCAGTGACAGCCCATGCTGGCATTTGCTCTGCAGAGAACACGGAAGGCAAAAATGGCTTTTTTTAGCTAACTGGTGCCCCAGGGCAGCAATGGCTGCAGGGGCAAGGGAGGGCACATCTCCGTGGCATTTGCCAGATGGTGGCCCTTTGGGGATGCCAGTTGGCGGTCCAGCATGTGGCAACTGGAATCCAGCCAGATCCCTGCACCACTTCTTCCTTTCATTGTTAACCCCACCCCCCTCTTGCAAAAATAAAGCCTGTGTGCGGCCCAGCCTGACTCCTGCATCCTTCCCTCTCTGCTGCAAGTTCCAGGTTTCAGCCAGCACTGCCACTGACCAGCACAGGCTGCATGAGGGAAGTTAGCAATAGCCAGTTCCCAGCAGATGGAATTCCTGCCCATGATTTTGCATTAGACAGAGTATTGTTTCTCCTGCTTCAGCACAGGCCTTTTCTAGGAAGGATTTTCTTCCAGGAGAAGCATGAGTATAGCATGAGAGGAAACACACAGATGGTCTTTGCCCAGCAGCCCAGCAGCAAGCATTTCCCTGTTTCTACATCTCTGTGGAAATACTCATGTGTCTTTCAGAGGGAAGCAGTATCCTTTTGGAAGGGGCAAAGGGGAAGAAATCAGGTTCCCGTGTAATAGAGAATGTTTTATGAGTGTTGCTGGCCATTGATGCATTCTTCCAGTTCTCATGTCCTGGGCAGATGGTAGAAGGATGGGGACCATGGGGGCAGGTGACAGGGACTATCTGCAGGGGGTAATTCCTAGCACTGGGAGGGAAGACTGGTGCTGGGTTTGGTTACATGGTGTGGGAGCACCTCTTCCTCTCCTTCTGGTGTTGCTCAGAGATGCACTGCTGTAAAGTACCAGTTTTCCCAGGCAGTACACTTGCACAACCATCCCTTCAACCTGATGAAGATGATGATCCACCAGGATGAATGGTGTCTGCTTCTGTCTCAGTTTAATGAGACTGAAATGTTCGCTAAGGGGAATGAGTTATGAGGAAGACCAAGCTCCTCCCTTTAATAAAGGGGTGTTACCTTTTTCTTTCTCCGTACTTCCTCAGTTGGAGCCTCTTAATTTTGGATTTACACTTGCTTAGAGGGGGGAACTTGGTCTTCCTCATAACTCATCCTCCTTAGCAAAACACTTCAGTTTCATTAAACTGAGACAGTCAGATACAGAGCATTGTGAGCATAAGACTGAGAAGAGAAGGGAAATGTGAGAGGAAGGTTGGTTGAAGGACAAAGGTATGCGAGAAGAAAGAGGGGGAGGTGGGAGTCAAGGGCAGTGGAACACAAGAGTATTGCCTTAAAGCAATAACCATCAATTAAAAGACAGCAGGAAAAATCAGTGCTAAATTAGGCTAAGAAGCACAACCATACCAAGCAGACTAAAACCCAGAAAGATCAATTAATTGATCTGGGAACAATCAAGATGGCAGGAAGTAATGGTAGGAGAAACCAGAATCAGCACTAAGCACAGCTTTGTGGCCAGCCTTCCCCATGCTTCTGTGCTTCATTTTGCCACTGAGCACAGAGCAGTGTTTTTCAGCAAACAGTAAGTCCTGCTGGAGTTTATGTGCTTGTCCTGCCATACATAGACCAACACAGAAGTACTCCCTCCAGATAGTTCATACATCTAATACAACACCAAGAGTTTTACCTTGTTCTACCTTGGGTGGTGACACTAAACTGGGAGGGGGGCTACCCTAAGGAATGGCAGAGCTTCTGTAGTTAGGGGCCTCTGAGGAAAGGGAGCTGGGTTTGGGTAGTCTGGTGAAAAGGAGGCAGAGGGGGCATCTACCAGGAGCCTGTGACTGCGGGGAAAGCAGTGACAGACATGATTAAAAAACTCCTGCAGCACCAGGCAATGCAGTGAGGGACGACACAACCACAGATTGCAGCTTGAGGGGCTCACATATGAGGAAAGTTTCTCCCCCAGGAAGGTGATGTCCCCTGGGACACGTACCCAGAGAAGCAAGGATCTCCATCCTTGATGGTTTCTTGCACAGTGCTCCTAATTCCCGGCAACAGAGATCTTCTGTGTTTGTATATGAGAGCCCCAGTGGACGTGATGTAGCATTGGCAATAGGTCTGCTCCAACAGGGAGGCTGGGGGTCACCACAAGCCCCTTCCCACAGGCATGACAGCTACATTGGAAAGAGACCGCACTATTGTATAATGTTATGGAAGGTTCACCAT